GCAAACGATGTTTTGTTTTTCCTTAAGAGTTCGATCAAAGCTTCTCTTATTTGGCCAGTCAAAGTTGCCCCAATTCGAATTTTCCGGTCCGGCTTGTCTTCTTCCAACACCACTTCGATTACTACATCATCTTTCTTCTACCCGTTAGGAAATTTTGTTCTTAGTCCCTCTTTTGCGGGCTTCGTTAATTGCTATTGAATCTTCATACGGTGGCTAGCTAGATAACACGTCCGTGAAGCTTCTTGATCACCCCGAATTATTTCCACTCCTCTTGATGTTGAAAATTTAATACATTGATGATATGTAGAGGGGACCGCTTTCATTTGATAAATCCAGGGAGTACCGAGGATGATGTTGTAAGCTGCGGGCTTATCGAAGACAACGAATTCCACGATCTTCGATACCTTTTTAGCGAGGACCGGTAGCTTGATTGTCCCGAGAGACATGGCTGACTCACTTGTGAATGCAACTAATGGAGACGGAGGCCCCACTATGTCCGCCCGACTAATTCCCATTCTTTCTAAAGTACTTAAAAAGATCAAATCGACCGAACTGCCTGTATCTATAAGGATCCTTGATACTTCGAAGTTGGCAACGTCAAGGGTAATGACTAGAGCATCATCATGAGGTCTTTCGAGGTACCGCGTTTCTTCTTCATTAAATGATATTGATGCACCTTGAAAATCGACTTCTTCGCTTAAACTTGCTTTGAGTAGGATATTTCGTCTATATTTCTTGATGGAACTTATCGAATCTCCGCAAAATTTGGAACCTCCTAGAATAACATTGATCTTACCCTTAGAATTCCTTGGTTCTTCCTCATTGGTTAATCTTGGTCTTTTGGAATTTTGATCTTTGGAACTTTCCTTTGCTTCGTGGTATTCCTTCACAAAATCTTTTATATCGAATTTGGAAAGATCTCCACTGGCCCAAAGCTCTGCGATGTGCCTTTTAAGAACGCTACAATCCTTGGTTAAATGTCCGGTTACTTTATGAATGTCGCAATATAGACTTTCATCACGGACCCAAGTGTTTGATCTTCCTTTCCCTTGGAATTGCTTTCCGACGGTACTGTTGAAGGGTTGCGACCCAAATTTCTTTGGTCCTTTGTTCTCCCTGGGTTCGAATTTTTTGGTAGGGACGGTGATTGCCGGCTTCTCTTGCTTATTTCTTTTGGCAAAACTTTCTTTTTCGTCCTCTACCTCCATCCAGTTGTTTGCACGGAAGAGTGCATCCTGAATTGTGTCTGGCTTATGAAGTATTAAGTCTTCTTTAAACCTTGAATCATGTCGCAATCCTTTTCGTAGGGCAGTTAAAGCTGATTGTTGTGAGATTCTTGGGAGCTTTGACAGCACTCCTTTGAACTTGGTGATGAAAACTCGAAGTGACTCATTTGATCCTTGCGATAAGTTCCAAAGATCGGCATCCGAAACGCTTTTATCCATAAGGATGGAATATTGCTTTAAGAATACGGCTGATAGTTCGTCGAAATTGCTGATCGAACCCGGCTCTAATTGGGTGAACCACATTAGAGCTTGGCCACATAAATTTTCCGAAAAGAGCTTGCAGTAACTTGCGTCCTCATCAGCTTCATCCAATTCGACTCTTCCAGCAGCGATCAGAAAAGCTGCGAGATAGCTTTTAAGGTCCTCCAATCCGCTGTAAGGGTCCAACTTGAGTTTCCGGGAATCTTTGATCCTCAAACTTGCAATTCGCGAGATGAAAGGTGTTCGCCTAGCTTCTTCAATGACTCGATTGATGTCTGGCTCCGAACTTGTAGCTTGATGAAATTTTGATTTCATTTCTTTTAATTCCTGGCTAACCTTCCTCATGGTCTCGAACTGGTCGAGGTTCTCCTGCTCGTATTGAGCTGCAAGTTGTTCTTCATCTCCGAGCTGTGTCTCTTCTTCCAACGTCTGAGCTACATTATTAGTAGCACCAGGAGTTGTTTGTTCGCTGGTTTCATTTCGTGCAGCGGAACTTGGCGAGTTGAATATCCCTCTTCGGATTCCCACAAGGTTTCCTGCACTTAAAGAGCAAACACGAGTTTGTATAGTACTGACGTTTTGACTAAGAGATACCTGGGATGTTTGCAACGTATCAACGGCCTTTTCCACATCCGAGAACTTTTGTGATATGTCCGACATGGTTTGCTGCATAGCTTTGAGGGTTTCGGCCAATGATGCATCAACGGCGTCTCCTCCGGACATTGTTGCTTATCTCGGAAATGTAGTAAAGAAAAAATCTGACCACTCAAGAATCCTCTGTCCCCACAGACGGCGCCAAAATGTGGAAGTCGGATTCACACACTCAAGTATTTCTATTAAGTAGGAAAGATTACTCTTGAGGGACAAAAATGAATATGTAAAAACTTATAAATTGCTACGAAAATTGCTATATTATTTCTTTTCTCCAGAAGAAGATCCCCTTTTACATGGCCATTGACCTTTATATTTATACATAGAGAAACGACATTAAAATGAATAATTAAGTACAATTATTCCCTCTTAAATGTGTCCGTTTTGATTCCTTGACTTTAATGCTCAACGTTTGAATTTGAGTTGACTCCGATCTCTATGGGCCTCGCCTTTCGGCCCAAATGTCCTTGGACCGATTTAACCATGACCTCGTCTCCGGACTCGTGTCGAGGTGCAGTCACTTCAAATTCTCCTTATGGTGGTTACCACTTCGATTGTTCTTTTGACTCGTGGGTCTGATGGGCTTTATCCTTTACGGACCGCTACCCTGACTACGTGGCAATCTTTGGTTGGTCCTGGACCTCTGGTGCGGGATCCGACACCAACACCTATGCTCAAGCCAAGAAAATAAAAGAATGGCTTGATGCAATGGAGATTGAAATAGATGCATTGGAGGAGACAAATACTTAGACAGTCTGCAGTCTACCTGATGGCAAGAAGCCTATTGGTTGCAAATGGGTTTTTAAAGTCAAGCTTAACGCAGATGGTAGTCTGGAGAGATTTAAAGCTCGTTTAGTAGCTAAAGGGTATACACAAAAGGAAGGTTTGGATTATGGTGATACATTTTCCCCTGTAGCAAAGATGACAACAGTGAAAGTTCTTCTTTCAGTGTCAGCTACAAAGAATTGGAGTTTACACCAGTTAGACATTTCAAATGCATTCTTTAATAGGGATTTAGACGAGGAGATCTACATGAGTTTACCCCCAGGTTATTCACCAAAACAGGGAGGCTCTCTACCTGACAATGCTGTTCTAAAGCTGGAAAAATCCTTGTATGGATTAAAACAAGCATCCCGACAGTGGTACTTGAAGTTTAGCACAACATTGATGAATTTTGGGTTCAAGAAGTCTCAAGCTGATCATACACTCTTCACCCGCATAAATGGTAACGTTTTCACAACACTTTTAGTGTATGTAGACGATATAGTGATTGCTGGGAATGATGAAGATGCTATTACTCAGTTAAAGAAAGATTTAGCACAGTCCTTTAAACTCAGGGATTTAGGTCCTTTGAAGTATTTTTTGGGCTTAGAGATTGCTAGATCTAAGGAAGGAATCTCAGTATGCCAAAGGAAGTATACTTTGGAGTTATTAGAAGAAACTGGTTTGTTAGGCTGCAGGCCTTCTTCGATCCTAATGGAACCTAGTGTAAAGCTGACACAACATAGTGATGAACCGGAGCTAGAGAATCCAGAGACTTATAGGAGATTGGTTGGTAATTGATGTATCTCACAATTACTAGACCTGATATAACATACGCTGTCAACAAGCTATGCCAGTTCTCTTCTTCTCCAAAGAATTCTCATCTTAAAGCAGCTCATAAGGTGGTTCATTACTTGAAAGGAACAACTGGTTTGGGTTTATTTTACTCTTCCAAGTCTGATTTTTGTCTCACAGCTTACACTGATGCTGATTGGGGTTCATGTATCGACTCTAGGAGATCAACCTCAGGTTATTGTATGTTCCTAGGTGATTCTCTTGTGTCTTGGAAATCAAAGAAGCAAGATATGGCCTCTGCTTCATCTGCAGAATCTGAGTACAGGGCAATGGCTATGGCAAGTAAGGAAATTGCTTGGTTGGTGAAGTTGGTTGCAGAGTTTCAAATCCCGCAAACCAAACCCGTCCCTATGTTCTGTGACTCTACTGCTGGAATTCACATCGCCAATAACTCGGTCTTCCACGAGAGAACAAAGCACATTGAGAATGATTGCCATATTACAAGAGATCGCATCGAACAAGGTTTGCTAAAGACTCTACATGTTACCACTATTTCTCAGCTTGCAGATGTTTTGACCAAGCCTTTGTTCCCTTCCTTATTCAACTCTCTTATTGGCAAGATGAGTCTTCATTCCATATACGTCTCATCTTGAGGGAGGCTATTGGTATAGAGATATGGTTTGTGTAAACCGGGAATCAGAATGTGATAACCGGAGCACTAGACTATAAATAGAAATCATTGTTGTAACAAACGTTTTATGAGAAATAACAGAATCTTCACTTTCTTCTTCGTTTGTTCTTCAATTCTCTCATCAACTATTAACTCATAAACACAAAACCGGCTATAGAGTTAGTTTGATGCATCATTACCTTGAACTTACACCACTAGGAACTTGGAAGTAGGCTGTGTATATAGCCAAGGTATGTCCGATAACCGATAACGGGGAAGGATTATCCAAAGCTTCAATAGCACGAGCACAATCTAACCACACCTCTATTTTCTTATTCGAAGATCATGTCAGCTTCTAAGAATCCACAAAATACAACACAATGTTGTCGTAATCTTGTTAAAGGTAGGTAAAGACTGCTGCACCAATATGATCTCTTGCGATCCACCCAGCAACACCACATATAAAACTTGAATTAGTCCATGAAGAACTCACATTGCATTTGATGATATCATTGGCAGACCAATTTGCTACTTACCAACTCTGGGCTTATTATTGGGTTACAAAACCATCTTTGGGCTTTTTATGGTGATCCATAACTATTCCTTTGGAACTTTTATTAACCCTTTCCTTTGCTCACTCGAGTATCGTTACGTCTCTGTAAACACTTCGAAAATGGAATCTTCAAAGGAACAACAAAACACGCCGGAGAAATCAACCTCCGAAGCTCCGGCCACCGTTTCCTCTGCCTTTCCTCCCTCCGGTTGCTGTACAAACTGCGGCGGACCAACGATTTCCGAACCACCACCACTCGCTTCATTCCCGGAGATGTCACCACCACCAAACTATCGCCCGATCCGAGCTCCAGCAATCAATCTCCCACACAACTCTCAAGCGATAATCCTCTCTCCCGTTCCTCACGCCGAACAAGTCCCCGTCGTATCTCCGCCGTATCAATTCCAATCTCCCGTCAAAAGAATCCACTCTCCCGACGATATCCGCCGATTTCACGAATCTGCATCTTGTAAGAACTTCTTAGGATTCATAGTATCTCTCTCAGAATCGATCCGTGGTTATAAGATCTCAGATCCTTGTGATATCTCACCAACCGTCGCCGCCATAGTTTCAATCCTTGAAACCTTGTTACAATGGATCGATGAGATTCCTCCTGCTCAACAATCGGCTCGATATGGTAACGTTTCGTTTAGGTCATGGCATGAACGGCTCGGCGAGAGAGGTGAATCGCTTATTCTTGAGTTTCTTCCTGAGGAATTTAAAGAATCTGTAATTGAGATTGTTCCTTACTTCTTCGATAGCTTTGGGAACTCTAGTAGGATTGATTACGGAACCGGACACGAGACGAATTTCGCGGCATGGTTGTATTGTTTAGCTAGGATGGGGATTGTGAAAGAAGAGGATTATCATGGTTTGGTTGCTAGGGTTTTTGTTAAGTATTTGGAATTGATGAGGAAACTGCAAATGGTTTATTGCTTAGAACCAGCTGGATCTCATGGAGTTTGGGGACTTGATGATTACCATTTCTTGCCGTTTATATTTGGGAGTTCTCAGTTGATTGATCATAAGTATATGAAACCGAAATCGATTCATAACGATGACATTTTGGAGAATTTCTCTAGTGAATACATGTACTTGTCTTGTATTGCCTTTGTGAAGAAGGTGAAGAAAGGTTTGTTTGCTGAGCATTCGCCGTTGTTGGATGATATAAGTGGTGTACCGAACTGGAAGAAAGTGAATAGCGGTTTGCTTAAGATGTATAGAGTCGAAGTGCTCGAGAAAGTTCCGATTATGCAGCATTTCCTCTTTGGCTGGCTCATCAAATGGTACGATTCTACATCTTTCCTTTTGTCTCATTTTTAGCTGATCACTATTGCTTTTTAATAGAAACCTATGGTTGTGTAATGGTTTATAGATTGGATTATCTATCCTGATATTGATATCTAGAATGAAACCTGTAATGATTTTGAGAATTCGTAGATTGCATTACCAAATTCAGAATAGATGATACTTTTGTGGAACCCTGGTCTTCTGAGAGACTCGCTGGGTCTAGTGGGAAGTCATAGCTTGTATGAATTTTGCTGATTCTGTAAGGTAGAGAAATTTTTTAGTTAGCAGATTTGAAGTTACATTATCTGCTTATGGATTTTCTCATTAGCGGTTTCACATGTGTTGTGATCATTAATTGGATACTTATAGAGAATAATTTGCTGAAAACTAATGTGAGCGTATTTGGTACCGCTGCACAATATTGTTTGCATCACCATTCTCTACCCAAATTTGCTCCCCATTTTTCATTAGACATGAACAAAACTGACAGCTTCTCATTGGCTCCTATAGCTAACATCTCATGTTGAGTTCTACACAGCTGAATCGTTAGTATTTCTTTAGCCGTTGAAATGCAGATGTTTTAAAACTTCGCTGTGGAATCTAATTGCGAAAAAATGGTGTTGGCAGGGAAGAGTGATTTACTTCAGTGCCATAAATAGAAGCAGGGACAGCGATTTTCTCTTCCTTGAGGTGGATTAACATAAAGTGGAGTCGCCTTTGCTTTTGCATGTATCTGATACGCATGCCATCTTCTTCTTGTATTCTCTGTGTTTTAAACTTCACATTGTCTTTTTGATAAATCCCTTCTGCCTATAAAGAGAAAACGAATGTTTTGTTTAGAAATCCTTAAGAACAGAATTTCTCTTACCCCTCGGTTACAACTGAAACAATTGAGCTAAAAACATTCCTGCTTGCGTCTCTCAAGATCAGAAAAATAGAAAATCCCTAAATTATCTCCTTATGTGTAGTAGTGAATCTCTTTCCGACTTTCTTGGCAAGTTCATGCAGTTACCGCAAAGAATTATGCCTTCGGAACCGACACGTAGTAGTCCGGTTGTAAATTCCAGCCTTTATTAAGCTGCTGAAAGGCTCTTCGATCACATACGCTGGGGAAAATAATCAACATTATAGGCAAGATTGAAATGCAATCCATTCCACTTTAGTATCTTGACCTGAAGGTCATCACCGGAACGATGACACTGAGCGAGAAAACCCTTTTTTAGGGAAACCTAGCTTTCTCTAACAAACTTATTTCATAAGTGAGCGAATGTGTGTAAGCCCAGTGAGCGAATGTGTGTAAGCCCTGTCAACATTTTTTTATGTGCGTAAGCCCAGTGAGCGAATGTGTGTAAGCCCAGTGAGCGAATGTGCGTAAGTGAGCGAATGTGTGTAAGCCCAGTGAGCGAATGTGCGTAACCCAGTGAGCGAATGTGTGTAAGCCCAGTCAACATTTTTTGATGTTAGGTTTTGATGGACACAAGTTTGAATACACGTATAATTTTCGAAATTTCATATTCATACTATTATACTTTTTAAATTTCATTTCTGAATAATGAAAAATGACTTTTAACATATGTGAGAGTCTAAGAATCTTGTCATTAGAGACTAAGTTAAGTGAATGAGAAAAAGTTTGAGAGAGTCTAAGAATCTTGTAATCCTGGGAGTATTTTAACAAAAATAAGATTTTCTTTTTTATAAAATCCTTTCCTCCTTTTTATATATAGCTTCTTTCATATAGTTTGTTTATACTCTTGATCCTAGACCATCATTAACGATGGATCCAAGTGGAGGTCTAAGACACAAAGTGTCTAAAAAATAAATCAAAAATGAATAAAAACAATAGACTCCATTCTAACTTTGGATTTTTAGAACATTTTTGGACACGCATACGTGGCAAACGTGGGTTGGTTGTTTTTTTAAACAAGGGGAAAAAATGTTGCACCTTTGTTTTCTCTCTCAGTTTTTTTTAACAGCTTTGTTTTTTTGGATCTTCACTTTTTGGATCAACCATTGGACTGTCCAAAAATAAAAAACATTCAAAGTGTCTAAATTTTTTATTTTCTATTATAAATATTACGAATCTTGTTTGGATCCCAATTTTTGGATCCAACCATTAAGGTTGCTCTTAAATACCTCATTTGTGGTTGTACCCACTATATGTCTGTTATGTAGGTACTAAACGATGTCGCTCAACATTATAAGAGAAGCTAAACAACATCATTTTGGTTTGGCTAATTAATGTATATATATATATATATATATATATATATATATATATATATATATATATATATTTTTGTTTAAGGGCTAATTAATATTTTCCGACTTAGACTACTTACAATGGTCGTTTTTAAGCTGTTGAATAAATTTATCAACTGTTGAATAACTCCAATGGCTTGTTGAAAAAAAATAAAGATGGGGTGGAGACAACATTGTTGAATCGATCCAACTGCATTGAAACACATATGAGGTGGGTCTCACTGTATATGGCACATATTGAATGCTTAAACTTGTTATTCTATCATAATGTTTAGATAAATACATGTGTTCTATTTCTATTAGATGCTGGGATTTCATATATTATTTTTTCAAACGAATTATTTGAGATCAATTATGTCATAGAATATTAAATTTTATTTTATACCAAAATTCATCATTTTCATATCTGTAAATAGAGACTTGTTTCACTTAATTTGGACAAAAAAACCACATTTTTACTATTATAAACTCTTGTTTATTGTTTTACTGTCTTTTTAGTGAAATGGATCCTAATAATAATCTTTTTAGCTCCCAAAATTCTTCTAATTACCTTTTTAACTACCCAAATCCCAACAATTATCAATTTCAAAATCAAACTACTGTAAAAGATAAAAGTATATCGGTGTTGAAGTATGATGTGGAAGAAAGAAGATGATGTGAAGTGTCAAAAGAAAAAAAAATGGGTATTGTAAACATGTAACTAATGTAGATAGTTTTAGCCTCTTATAAGACCACATCCACTATATTGCTCTATTTTTTACTATAAATAGAGTAACTGTAAAATAAAGCAGAATTTCTCTCTTATATATCATCCTATTTTTATTCTAAATAAGAATAACTTTAAGTATATTTTTATTCTAAATAAGAATAACTGTAAAATAACTTATTGGAAAATATCAATAGATATGCATAGACGAATCGATAATTCACTCCCTTCATTTTGCACTGTTCCCTCGCTTCTGTTCATTTTTTTTTACGCATGTACCCCTATAGCATCAAGGGAGTCGCATATAGATTATAGGGCTGTATCATTGCAAACGGTAGGAGAAGATTTTGAGAGATATTTTTGGGGAGTTGTGTTTATTTATTTTTTTTTAATTTTTTTCTTGGTCAGTTACCGAACAGTCGTGTTTTTCCTCATCCTATACGAGGAGGAGAGAAGGCGTTTTGAGGCTGAAAGAAAAAGGAAACAACTCCCCAAAACTGTCCTCTCGCATTCTTTTTCTCTGGTTCTGTTTTTCGAGCAAGGGTTTATATCTCAGATCTGGTTTTTGTTCTTCTCGTTTTTTTCTGGTAATTAAAATCAATTTTTTCTTTTGATTTTGCTTTCAGCGACATGTTTTTTGTTGTCTAACTAGAGTTTATCGATTTTTTTCTAGAACCGATGCCTCCGATTCTGCTTCCTACCTCCCCGGTTGATTGCGTTTGGTCACGAACCTCGCGGCGAGAGGGTTAATGTTTATCAGAAGATGAAAACACTCATGCGAAATCATACATTATGCTGCCGTGGATGCCACATCGTTGATGATGTTGATGACGCAGCTGCCATGTCCTTGATGACATCGTTGCCATGTCATCATCACCTTAGAAAATAATTTTTTTTCTTGAACTTTTTCTTCTTCATTATTATCATATGATAGAACTGTGAAATTTTTTTTTTTATTGTAAGCATTTAAAATCATTTTTTGATACTTATAACCAATATTTCAATCGAATATATTATTTAAACCAAGTTTGTAAATCCAAAATTCGTAATTTAACTTCTAAAAATATTCAAATTGCATTTAGTGAAGAACATAAACCCTACAATAATCATATATAGTCACCAAAAGATATTTTAAAGTTGAAGACAAAAAAACGAGAAAACTTAATTTATAAATATTGGTTATTAGTATCGAAAATAAGATTTCAAATTTTTATATCACAATAATAAATTTTTTACAGTTTTGTTAAATGATAATAATGAAGAAGAAAAAGGTCAAGCGAAGAAATATTTTTTTTAATGTGATGATAATGTGGCAATGATGTCATCGAAGACGTGGTAGCCACATCATCAACATCATCAAATATGTGGCGTCCACGTCAGCAAAGTGTATAATTTCGCATGATTTAGTAAATTTAGATATGAAATTTAAATTATTAAAAAGATTGGGTATATATTAGCACACAAGAAAATATTAGGTATGAATTGAACACTTGAGTGTATGTCGGGTATGAAATGCCCGATTATCTGCTTGAAATATGTTAGCTTTGATGTAAAAATAGACCAATCTTCAATACTAGCAGTCATAGCAAGTAAATCTGAACAATGTGTCGCAAAGAGGGCTCTATCCATAGAAAGTGCCAGCAAACTTTTCATTGCCCAAAGAAGGGGTTCCAGCTCAATGTGGACAGGAGAAAGATATTTGTGGGAACTTTTTATCTCAACGTGTAAGTTTCTATCACCTATTCTGACGATCCAATCATGTCCGCTTTGAGCATCTGTAGCATGCCATGATCCATCAATGAAACACACAAGGGACTCTTGTGGGACAAGAGGCTCAGCTAAGATAAATGTTGCTTCCTGAGACGACTCTTCACTATTGTTGGCACGTCTCCAAACTTCTTCTTCTTAGGTAGCTAACTTCAGGATGTCTTGAGGGGATTCATCGATATTTTCAAAGATATTCATATTTCTCGCATTCCAAATATACTACATAATCAAAAAGAAAATGCGTAAACTCTCCTTAGTCGCTCCAAAGTCCTTGTCCCTCCAGAACAAGTAATCAAGGTTACTTAATATGGAGGACGAAGGAAATAATTTTCTTTTATAATTTAATTATTTTCTAATAAATTCTTGTTTAAATCCTTCAACATCCTTTTTTGTGAGATAGATTTCAATAATATTTCAGTTATGATGGTACTTTAATAATTTTAAGAATATATTGTAGTTATGGGCCTTAGAAAGTTATGTAGCTTTTAATAATTTGACTTTAATTGATGATTGTTATTAATATATAGTTACAAATTTTTTTTTAAAAAAGTATATGAAATATAAGTAGTGAAGTAAGGTGTGTTGAATTTGATCAAACAAAACATGTGTGTTGAATTATGAAGTGAAAGAGAAAGAATATGATGTAGAATGTTAAAAATAAAGAAATGAGGTGTTAAACTTATAAACCGAAGTATGAAACGACATCGAAGGAAATCGGTCTTCTGTATCTTTTTTTTGAATAACCGCGGGTCTCCCAAAGGCTTCCTAGGCCCAAGGACTAATCCCACGAGGCTGGCAATTCCCCTATGTAAACCTGCCAGTGACCGTGCCTCGAACCCTGGTGGCGGAAGTCACAGCTGTGATCCCTTTACCATTAGGCCACAAGGCCCGGTTGGTCTTCTGTATCTTGATTCGTGAAAAGTCTTAACTTCACAACGGACCAGATTCTGAATCGTGAAAATTACACATTTCACATTTGTGCTTCAAAAATGGGCTTTGAGTCTCGTATTGATCACGCTTTTACTCATTGGTCCTAATAAAAACTTTTTCTCATCTAGATATCTCTGAATCCTTGTACAAAGTCAAACAAGTCAACGTCGGTAAGAGATCCCACAACACCATCTACAGACACGTGTACACTATCTTCCACTTTCTCACCGACACGTGTCGGTATTTTCACCTACAAGTAAACTCTCTCCATTCTCATCAATAATGTCAAAAATGTCACACACACACACACTTGGTCATAGTAATTCCCAATTTCCACGGCACCTATTTGCCATCAAAATTAAACAAAAAAAATCAAAACTTTCTTAGTTTTCACAGTTAATATAATACGATATCTCTTTCCCGAGAGACTTGAGAAGATAAAAATCAAAACTTTTTTCTTTTAGTTGGAGAATTTACATAAAAGTTTTGTAGATTCTCTGATCAGAATCGTGTAAAAAGGGATTCTCTTTTTCACTTACTTATTGAGGAATTAAAGTAAGTAAAAAATAAAGCAAACTGTTTCTTGATTTATTCTGTTTCCTCCATTAAAATGTACAAATTCTACTGTTTTTTTTTTCTCTCTCTTTTTTAAAAATAATTGATTTCTTGTTGGAGGGACCCTTTTGTTGTCATAGAATTTACTCTGCTGCGTTTTTACTGTTGTTGCTTTGTTCTTGTTGTTTGGTTGTATATTGTTGATGCTCTCTCTTTCGTTAGGTGAAGTAGATCTCTCTCTCTCTCTTTCTCTTTCCTGCCCAAGCTTTTGTGGTGAACAAACATTGAAGAAGTTTTTGGACCTATAGAGATTTTTTTCTGGTGAATAAAGTTTGTTTTCTTAGTTCTGAGTATCAATAACTTGTTGATAGTTTTTGGGTGTGAGAAAGTGGTTTCCTTTTTACTTCTTTTAGTATCTATCTTTCTAATTCTAGTAACTTCACTGGTTCTTGAGCTCTTTCAACTTTTTATTTCAGATCTCTCTGTTTTTTCTGTTCTTTCTGCAGTGGGAGCTTCGGAGTTAGTGATTGTACTTTAAACATGTTTAGTGTTCTTTAAACATGTTTTTGTTCATATGGGTTTGTTAGATCTTGAGTTTTCTTCATTTGTTTATGATCTCTCTTGGATCTTGGTACAAAAGTATGAATCTTGTGATTGCTTCAAGAAATAAAGTTTTAGCCTTTTCTTAGTTATGAGGTTCTTAGGTACATAGATTTTGAAGATTTGTGTGATTATCTTAGTATAAATGATCATTTCTTGTATTGGTTTGTAGATGGAAGAAGATTGCGAGTTTCGACATTGGGATGAGTTGATACCAGACGCTCTTGGTTTAATCTTCAGTCATTTAGCTCTTCAAGAGGTACTAACAGTGGTGCCTAGAGTTTGCAAAGCATGGAACAGAGCTGTTACTGGACCTTATTGTTGGCAAGAGATTGACATTGAGCTGTGGAGTAACCGTTGTCATCAGTCTGATCATCTCGACCGGATGCTTGAGATGTTGATCCCTAGGAGCTCTGGTTCGTTGCGAAAACTCTCCGTTACTGGCCTTCGAAATGACTCTATCTTCTCCTTCATTGCACAACAGTGAGTTGCTATTTCCTGGATTTCTGCTTTGTTTGGCGTATTATGATCAAATTGAGAAGAAGCTTTAAGTGGTTATTGGTGTAATCTAGGTTTGTGTTTGATAATCTGGAGCTGATTCTTAAAAAGCTAGTTTCAGTGGTGTATTTAGTTGAGATTGATGCAGTAACATAATTGGAAACTCTCCGTCATTGCACATTAGGGAGTTGAATTTCTCGAATATCCGCTTTATCGATTTGAGAAGCTTTATATGGTTATAAGCGTAGTCTAGATTGTATTAGGGGATGAGATTGAAGTAACATGATTTCTAAGTTCATTGCTTTTGTATCTATCAATTTCTGACTAATACTTTTCCATCTTTCCTTCTTTTTTTTTGTAAGTGCTGGTTCACTTAAAACCTTGAAGGTGCCAAGAAGTGGTCTGACTAATTCGGGTGTGGTAAACGTAGCTGAAAAGCTTTCGTCTCTCACTTTCTTGGACTTGAGCTACTGCTGCAAAGTAGGTCCAGAGGCGATACAAGCCTTAGGAAAACATTGTAAATCCCTGAGAGAGTTTTGCAGAAACATGCATCCACTGGATGTAGCAAGTGTTGTCTCTCACGACGATGAAGCTTATGCAATTGCCAACACAATGCCGAAGCTGAAGCGTTTAGAAATTGCATACCACCGAGTCAGCACAGAAGGAGTACTCAAAATCTTATCATCCTGCATTTTTCTTGAGTTCTTGGAACTTAGAGGCTGTTGGGACGTGCAACTCGATAACAAGTTCTTCAAAGAGAAGTTTCCAGATATGAAAGTGTTAGGTCCACGCGTGATCGGATTCTATGATATGATAAACGATTGGGAGGATTGCTGCTCAGATTATTTCTCAGATGGATCTGATTACTTGGCTTGGGAATTTTTTGAAGATGGTGTTATGGGAGAGTTCTATGAAGATGAATTTGACCATGGTTGGGACGATAACTTTAATGCGGACAACGCAATTTTAGATATGGAACCGCATATTTGGCCGCCATCTCCATGAACCAGGTCTTGTTATGTTTGAAGTCTCTACCTAAAGTTGCTACTAGGAATGGTTTTAGCCTCTTATGTGTCTTGATCTATGTATGGTGCTTGAACTTGTGTGGCTTCTTTGTGTTATTCTAATCTAAAAGGCTTTAATCTCTCTTTACTAATTGATGTTTAGATTCATATATATATATGAGTGTGTGTGTGTGTGTATGTATAGAATTGGAGATGTCAAGTTGATGTATAAGAAACAAAAGAAGTGAAGAATTAAGTAAAAAGGACAAGCTATTGAGGAAGAATTCAAATGAGATGGGGTCACTTGACATAAAAGCTTTTTACTTATCTGCCATTTTGTGTAGTGTTGTGTCTTTTCTTCATTTAATAGAAATTATGTCTTGGTCTGTTTTACTTTTTAAGTCTTTGTCAAACTTATTTACTTGATTGTAAGATTGAAGTCATGATCAAAGTTAACAAGTTCATTGATCAATTATTAACTAGCTAGTAATTTACATTTAGCCTAGTTTGCTAACTTCTGAGGCCTTTGGTTCCGAATTCCAAAAAAATCTTGTTCCTATTGAGATCTCAAATCTGACCATAACTAAACGATTGAAAAATAAATAGAAACAAGACGGAAATATATGGTTATTCATAGTGTGGGATAACTTCTTGTAGTATGCATGGTGTCCATTAGTTGTGAGTCTTTTTACAAATCATAGTTCCGATAATACATGGCACCTTTTAATGTTCATTTGATCTAACCATTAATTCCAATCAAATAGCATTGGACAAGGGAAAGATTTTTCGGGAGGTGTCGAAGTAGTTATGGTTGCCTCTGGAATACCTCAAAAACTGTCAAGCTCTCTAGACATTTCCTAGAAGTTCTTCGATGATTTTTCGGTAAACTGGAGGGTCTCTGAAGGTTTCACGACTTCCCATAGGTTTTTGACTGCATTTGCAACCTGTTCCTTCTCGTTAAAACTCTTACTTAGTTGAGAGATGATGTACATGTTTTGTTTGCGTATCTTAGAATCATTTTTGTGTCGTTTTTCTTACATTCGCATCAAGTTTTAGAGTCCTTTAGGATCATTAGTCTTGTTTTGATTATTTTCTCTTCTTAGGGACATTTGGCAAAAATCATGGGAAATGGAGGGAAAACATGGATAGAACTTTGGATAATGATAATCAACGAAATCAAGCTTGATTCTAGCAAATGTGGATCAAATGGGTGTTTGGTCGAGACTAGCCGCTTCGTGGCCAAAACGAAAACTTCTGAGTCTCTGACAGTTCATTTGAGGTGTGCGGTCTTTCATGTTTGCAGTATGCATAACGGAGTGCCACAAACCATAGAAGCTCGCACATATTTGCCTCAGGCAATCCCATTGTGCATCGGCCTTTTTAGACACAATTTGTTTCGCGGTCAAACCAACCCCAAATCCCGGTCGAGCAAAACCAACATATTATATCTCCATATTGATCAATTAATACTCAAGAGTCAAGAGTTCCTTTACTAATCTTATTATTGTTTGGTTTAGAACACACATGCTCTGTATGTGAAACTACAACAAAATGTTTACTGGTTTAGCAATAGCAATGACAAACTTTTCTCTTGCAAAAGCCACCTTTTCTATTCTTACAACCTCTAAGACACCTCTTGTTGCACTTGGTGTTACTAGTACATACTCCAAACTCGGGATGATCTTTGCAACACAATGAAGCTCTTTTGTTGGGAGGCAAAATTGAATCTTCACGTACCATAGAAATGGATTCAACACCTGAAAATAACAAATATATACACCACATTTCAAGATTATGGTCTTAAAGAGTAAAATCAAAGTAAAAAATCGTTTAGGAGGTTTTTGATCTAATGAGACTTACATGCAAGTAAAACAGAGAGAGCGATGAAAGCAAAGAAAACAAATCTTCTATATGCCATTTTTTAAGATGTTTTTAACTCTCTACTTAAGTTTCTAGTATCGTTATGTTTTTTAGAAATGTAGATTGGTTATGATATATCATATATATACTTGTTTGCCAATATATTGAAACATTAATTAAAAATATACATTAAACTTAAATATTAAACATTATTTTAGTATCAATAAGGAATTATATCATATATATATATGATACCATATATATATATATATTTGATACCATATATATATATATATATTTTTGATACCTAAAAAAGTTTGAGGTTTATTTGGGAAAATGTTCAACTTGGAGGTATTTTCTGGGATTTTCCCTATATATATGATACCAAAATGATATCTCTCCATCTATAGTGCCACCTCGCCAACTATTTTACTAAAATTAATATAATAATCTAATTATTTATTAACTTTTAGTTAAATTATGATCAATAAATTATTATTTTTTAAATAATTGATAAAAAATTAGTTAATCCATTCCTAAAATAAAATAAAATAAGTTAAAATATTGAAGAGATATCTTATACTATTATTTGGAGAGTACATTTTTGAACTAACCTTACTTTTTGTAAGTTATTACATTGGAATATCATTAGAAATAAAATTTTAAAGAGTAAATTAATTCAGCTCATTAAGGATAAACAAGTCAATTACTATTTTATGCAGTTTAATTAATTTAATTTAATTATAAAAAGAAAAAATCTATTATTAATTTTTTTAAAAATGAATGACCAATCAAAATAAACATATAAGATTTGATATCTAACTTACCATATTAATTTGTGATTAATCATTATACTTCACCTCTCATCTTTATATGATTCTATTTTTATGAAATAAATAAATCATCCATATAATAAAAAAAAAGTAAATTTTTTTCTGCATATGCCAAGATTTAAATTTTTAAAAACGAATATAAATTGTTCAATGTATGAAGAAAAAAAATTAACAGGTCAAAAATTCATTTTTGAGTAATATATTTCTTTTAAACAAAAATTAATTCAACAAAAATTCCGACTGAGTAACTGGTAAGAATTTGGATATTTATATTATAATTATTTTTTGAAATGTATAATTTTATATACTACAATAAATTTTCCAAACATTTTAATTTGCAACATTTAAAATTAGTTTTACTTGATATTTTTAAAGAATATCATCAATACTTAATATATCAAAAAGTTAGAAAGAAAATAAATATTTATAATACGCGGTGGGTTAAATATAATGTATTATATGATAAAATGACGTATGATCCTTATAACTATTTGAATATTTATATTTATTGTATATAATTCTTTTTTTTAATTTATAATTTTATATACTACAATAAAAATGTTGAATATTTTAATTTGGAACATTTGTAAATAGTTTAATTTAATATATTAAAGAATATCATTAATATTTAATAGATTAAAAAAGATAAAAAAATTATAAATACTTTAATTTGATTTTTAAATAGATATATTTAAAATATTTATAGCAAGCAGCAAGTTAAATGTAATGTATTATATGATAGAAAGTTATGATCCTTATAACAGACGGTATTTTATATTTATATGATGAGATGAGTTAAATAAGGTTTGACACCTCTAAATATTTGAAAAATTGATTCTACAAGCAATTTGGGAAATAATGAATAATAGATCGTACACACAATATTTTCATTGGGATTCTAAAATGAAAATACAGACTCCACGCACGGGTTAAATTTGGTATTATTATATAACAACTATATGTTTATAACATATTCGATTATGCGAATAATTGGTAAATTCCGTATTTAGCTCAAACAAATCTCTACAACAACCAATGAATTAGAAATTGAAAAAATAATTTCCTAAATTAATTCAAAATACTAGCTAAATTTCTTAATTAATTCAAAATAATCTACATTTAGATGCGATTCATTTATGATATTTTGATTTTTGATCTAACTAAATTATATGCAATCTCATTTTGTGGTTGTTAACATAAATTAATTCATTGTTCAAATAATATTAATTTTTTGAAAATAATATTATTTTCTATTTTCATATCAGAAAATATATCTATTCATTCTAATATTATATATAGAGACTGGCAGAAAAAAATTATTTTTTTACTTACTATTATATAATATATCACGACTTTAATTTTAAAAAATATAATAGATAAATTTTGTAGTAAATAAAATTTAACCCGTACAGTAGTACGGGTGATGATCTAGTATAAAGGACATTTTGCAAAACAAAATTTCCCAATAAAATTATACATCATATATATAAAGAACCAAAATAATGTATATATAGCAAAAAGAATCATCTATATATATATATATATATATATATATATATATATATATATATTACCAAAATGAGCTATCATCATCTAGAATGTCATCTTGTCAACTAATTTGAAGATGAGAGACTCCGTTTCAAAGATAACAACAAATATTGTGGGGAGGATGGTGATAGATGCGTGTGCAAACCTTGGGAAGACACTCCTAATTCCATATCATCAAGTCCAGTGAAGATAGGCACTAAAGGTGTTGAAGTTAGGAGAAATCTCTAGTTACAAAGATGACATGGATAAGCATACGGAGGTGATCAAGTATTTCTTGGAGATAATGCTGAATCTTGAACAAGCGATATTATACGATGATACGCCATTTGATGATGATCTAAGTATAATATCAACCGAACTTCAGATGCATGAAAATGTAGCCTCACCCAAATGCAAGATCCAAGTTATCTCTGATAACAGTTACCGGTTGTTTTCGTAGTAAATGGTGATAAACAAAAGAGAAAATCGATTGAAAGTTGTGTATTACTCTTGACCTAAAGGTAGAATATATACAATCATATAAGGAGGATTTTGTCAAATCTGTTTTTTATATCATATGTTTTAACTGTTTGTTTGGCTACGAGAGTTGACTAATTAAGTTGTTAACTATAAACGATTAAGTTCTATGAAAGTAGGTTGGTCATACAATAGTCAATAGATATTTAAGTTCTAGAGTTTCTCTAATTAATTTTTTATTAATTGATTCCTTACGAACCTCTAAGACTCTCTAATGCCCAACGCCTAGTTTTATTTTTTCTTTTCTAAGTTTATTTTCTTTGTTACTAACCAAATTTTAGTTTAATAGCTTGCATTATTCCATTCATCATCAAACACACATCCTCTCATATTTTGATTCTTTTCTAGCAGATTTTTTTGCATATTTTCAATTTTTATGGGATCGATCATTAAATACTACAATTGATTGGTTGTGCACTTGTAACTTACTGTTGTGTCTGTTTGAAGTTAAAACCTTGCTCCTGGCTTTTTGTTGTTGATCTCCTCCTTGCTTCTCAACACTTTTTTGATGATGTAGATGACCCTTTTTCCTTTGATATATCTCAAGCACTCAAGCATATGAAATCTATGTCGGGGTTGAATCTTCTTGTCTTCATTTTAAGTATTGTGCCATATGATCCCAATTGAGTTTTGGTGGTTGTTGTTGAGTATTGTATTCCGGGATGGGCAAAATTACATTCCGCTTCTGAACCGTCCCTTACCCGTTCCCAAATTCCCATCCGTATGGAAATCTAGATATGGGAAGAATTTTGTAATCTCGATTAAGACCGGGAATTCCCAAAGTCACGTTTTAAACAAATACAAATATAAAATATATTTTAAAATAATTATAGGGCAATTCTCAAAAATACTACACTTAAGTTTTGGTTTTTCAAAAATACCTAAAATCTAAAATTTAACTTTCAACCTTCAAAACTAAACCCTAAACCGTATCCCCTAAAAGTATGCCCTAAATCTAAAATAGTCAACCCAAACCCAAAATTTAAATTCTCAATTCTTGAAAATTAATTTTTGTGTTTGTAGTATTTTTGGAAAACCAAAACTTTTGGTGGTATTTTTGAAATATTAAACTAATAATTTTATTTTTGGCAACAAAATTTGAAAGTGTGATAGTTTGAGGATTTTCTCATAATTATATATGGTCATAGTATATTTATATATCATATATTCTAATAAAAATATTTAAAAAATTAATAAACTTCTTTATTCTTATTATTTTATGTTTGTTCATATAGATTAGATTATGTTTTTTCTATTATTTCTTAAGTTTTAACAATTATAGAACATAATGTTTCTTATATTTTAACGATGCTAGATAAATTGAAAAGAACATGTTAAATACATGATTGCAAGCGTTATTTTATTTAAATTATAACATGTTATAAGACCTTTTTTGGGAATTTATGTATCCATTCCGTATGGAACATGTTTTTCTATTCCCAAAATTCTTGTTCTCGTCCCGTCCCAAATTCATGTTTGCTTATCCCCTATGATGTATGATAAGATAGTCCATTCCACTGTTTGTTGACTTAAGTTCTCTTATGTTCTTCATAGATGTTAGGAAATATAGATGAGGTAAACATAGATGAAGTAAACATAGATGAATGTGGGACTTCTGTAATTGGACCGAATTATGGTGAAATCCATATTGTCATCTTCACACCACTTGATGATTTAACTAGTGTGATTGTTGACACATGATCAAATTAATATCTTGCCAATAACACAAGCAAAAAAATGTAACGGGAAATCACCGAAAAAGCAGGTGTGGGCATGAAAGAAAGGAACATGAATTCGATCAAATGGACATCGTCGAAGTTAAATGAACAAACATTATGAAAGAAATGGACATCATTGAACTCAAATGAATAGACATCATGAAAGAAATTGATCGACTATAAAAAAGTATAGCAAATAATCATATTCGAGTGACAATACACATTTCATGAACTCTATCAAATTTCAAAAAGAAGAATGAATAGGTATGTGCATTTTGGATCGGGGCGATAAATGGTACAAACAACTTCCATAGATAACAAAAATAATTTGTACGCCATTTATACGAAAACCAAACTTTTCATACTAACTCTGTAAATCATATGATAAAATGTCACTGGATTGATATCACATATCATAACAAAACTACGATCTACTAAATTCA